TTAAGGCACAGAGCGAGGGTTACGTCGAATGGGTAGAATGCGCTAAGTGTGTAACGAGAGCCCACGGGTCGTGTATCCAGTATAGGAATCCTCAGAAACCATGGCTTTGTCACATGTGCCGTATTGACAAGATTCCGACAGAGGCTCGATTCCTGAACGCGGCGTCGGAAGGTTTAGAAACGACCCTACAGTTTAGATGGACAGAAGTCGTCCTAATAGCCACAATTGCTGGAAATTTTCTTCGAGAATTCTCTAAGGAGGAACGGAGACGGGTCAATGAGAGGGCACAAGATTATAGGTGGAACGAGGGACAGTTAGAGAAAAGGAAAACGGATGGAAGCGAAATTTGGATGGTGGTACCACACCTATTCGTGAGGTATGACTGGGTACAGGCCGCGCATGAGGAGACGGCCACACATTTCGCTGTCAGAATTACCGAGGCAGCCATCGATAAAAATGAGTGGTATTGGTCCAATATCTGAGACGACGTTAAATTTATAGTTAAAATTGTCATGTATGCGTCGCTGACGAAGCGTCGATTCAGCCGCCTAGGTCGATAATGCCCACTGTAGTCCAACGGCCATTCAAGAGGGTTAGCATGGATACGACAGATATCATTGTGCCCCCTGGACCGAATAGTTGTGAGTATTCAATTCTTTTGGTATTCGTTGACCATTTTTCGAAGTGGATCGAGGCATACCCCTGTCGAACAAGACAGACGGCGGAAATAGCGGGATATGTCAACCGTTTCCTTGGGATGCACCAGGATACCGAGGAAATCCTCACAGATAATGGGGCGGAATTCCAACTTGAAGGCGAAGTCCTGAGGAACCTGGTCGTGCATGGGGTATCTATTCGTAATACCGCCCCCCATATGTCTCAATCGAACGGCCCTGTAAAAAACGCCAATCGAGTAATTAAAACGGCACTCCGACGGAATATTGCAGCCAAGGACACGCGGCAGTGGCCTGATATCGTAGACTGCATCCTGGCCATACATTGAGGGACCCCGCATGAATCAACGGGACTTTCGTCATTTCAACTACAGACCAACAACCTAGCTTGTGTCTCGATACCAAGCCTAAAAGACAAAACGACCCTTCCCCGAAGGCCACTAGAACGACGGTTACAAACAAGGTCCAACGTCATTTGGATTTGATGGAAAGGGCCCTCTCCCGGTTAGCCCGGAAAAGACAGCGTATGACAGAAATGGCCCATGGCCGACAGGTCCGAAGCTACGAGGCCCGGAATGGGAACGTAGGCCCCCGACCCCAGTATAAATTACGGGACTTGGTGAAGGTAAGGAAATGTGCTCGTCAAGGGAAACCAGCGCCACAATTATTCGGGTGCATGGAAGGATCACAATGTGATTGAAGTTTACTGCACAATCACATGGACTATCCCTGTGTGTACGGACCACGAGCAGTTCCGTGCGGCCGTGCTTCGCACCCTTTCCACTCTCTATCCTCATTACCTCGCTTCCCTCTCTTATGGAAGTCATCGTTTCTCACGCGTACACCGCACTCTCCGATACCTTGAGCTTCCCGCAACAGTAGCGGGGATGGCCAACTTCTTACCCGCACTCCCGAGAGAACATCCCCCACCCTTTCAACTTAAGTTACCCCCGCCTTCCGACTCCCCTACCCCCCCTCCTCGGAACACTAAATTAGGTGCAAAAATCAAGACGTGTCAACAGGATGACTTCCACACTCTTATCCTACGGTTATGACACATGCACCTTGGAAGGATATGGGTACGAGCGGGAGCTTGCACGAAATTGGAACCCCCTGGGCGTCACATATGTGACGAGCTATCTTCTGTAATCGCGCAACTTCCTGCGCGGGGCTGTTGTGGGGAAACAAGAGGGTCTTGATGGGAGACAGGGTGCAAGCGGGATCGGTGAGGCAAGTTGCCTGGATACCCTCGCTTCTTTTTCGTTTTTATTGGAGTGGTTGGGTCGGTGTCGGGAAAGTCCCGCGCTGATGATTAAGTAACCGCGCCCTAGCGAGCGCGAGAAATAACGGTTGTCATAACTTCTTTCTTGTTCTGCTATAAGCACTAGGAATTTTGGCGCGATCAGCGCGCGGGAATTTTTGTTTTTGAAATTCGAACTAATGTCGAGCCTCCCCTGCAGGCTCTCGAAATTGTTTTTCTTTCCTTTCCTTCTTTTTCCCTTTGGGATTTTTTTTTTTCTTGCAATTAGGATTTAGACAAGGAATTTAGGTACTTTGCGATTTGGCGGCATGAAGCTTCTTACTCGCACACGACGTGACCCAACAGGGGTTGAGCTCTGAATCCACCCGCGCCTTAATCCAGTGTGTAACTGTAGTTTTTGGCGGGGGCGATCTCAACTATAATCTTCTTGTTCTTTATGGCTTTTTGTATTTCCTTTTTTCCCGCCTTGTCGTCGCATGCACACTCTTCCTCTATTTTAAGTGGTTCCCACGGTTGCATGTCCGGATCGATGCGGGGCGAGAGGCTTCATCCCCCGCGCCGCGGCCTGGGCATGCAGACGCAGGCACTCCCTCCCTTCTCTTTCTCATCACTCTAATCCCGTATCCCTCGCGCAAGCATGCATGCTATAAATTTCACAAGCGTGATTAGTTGTTTCTCTAACCTACTTGGGAGTTAGCGCGGTCGAGAGGATCGACTAACGAGCGGAAAGATGGTGAGTCGAGAGTCGGGCGATCCGACGAGCTGGCGCTAAGTGCGCGGGGTTGACGAGTAGTCGCGATGAACTGTGGCACGTGGGCGAACCTGGCTTGCATGCTCAGGCCAAGCGGGGTGACGACTCGGGTTGATGTTGGGGGTGCGGGGCGACGGACTTCCCGCATCGAGAGAGAGAGAGAGAGAGAGAGAGAGAGAGAGAGAGAGAGAGAGAGAGAGAGAGAGAGAGAGAGAGAGAGAGAGAGGGGGATATGGTGGAATTGTGTCTATCCTCCCTACTGTCTGTATAAATTTTGATTTCAACGTTGGTCAATTTTTGTTGCGGCATTTTTGAAGTTTCTTGATTAAATCATCTCGGAGGTTTTTATGTGTGTATATGTGCATGAATGACGATGAATGAGCTCATATCCATTTTTTTTGAGTTGTTTTTTTTATCAATGATTACGGGAACTGCTAGGGGTGTATGCTTGTGACTATCCAATAGTCCTTTCCACCTCGAGAACGAGATTGATTGCCTAAGGGAACTAGCTGCATGATTGAACCGGTACGCTGACGGATCGCTCCTTGTTTATGTGTGCAATTTAAGATCTACTCAACTGGCCGGTGCGCACGCACGTGTAAGACAACAACCGTTCGCGGACTTGCCATCTACACGCACGCCTATAAGAGTCAGCTACGATCTCGCCCCGTAGAAAGATGCGTGTGCAGGAACTCGGTTGAACGAGACATGGCGATAGAATCCCCTTTCTGGATCACCGATCGCGAAAGCCTAAGGGACCCGGAATATCGAACGTATTGGGAGAGGGAACAAATCCGCCAGCAGCGGATCCGACAACATCGTCACTTACGGAACCCTGGGCCCCTCGAGTACCCTTGCTGGACTGAAAACGAACGACTGTGCAGGGGCGACCTCCAACTGGCAATCAACCGAGACCCACAAATTCCCGATTATCCCGACAACCGAAACTAGCAGTATCTTCTAACCCCAGGCTTCGTTGCCATCACCACTGACTTCCCTCCCTACTATACCGTCCTCCCCTACCATTGGTTACTCGTGGTCCCCTGGGATTCCATAGCCCGGTTTTGGCCCCGTCCGCCGTGCTCAAAGTGTCGGCAGCCCGGCGAGTATCGGCAGGCGAGGGTCATGCAACGAACCCAACCCAGGATAGAGCGACGAGAACCCAGCTCGTCTTCGTCGGACCCCGAGACTTGAGACGGCCGGCAGCGGTACGAGCACTCCCACAGAGACACCCGTAGCACCCCACCCCGGCTCAGACCGCACGATCGACAATCGCCCCAACTCTGAGCCAGAAGACACTTGCACTTCTACCCCTGGTACTCGACACAAGAGATTCCAGTTCCGACCTGGAACTCCGCCCCCACTTTCCTAAAATCCTTGGCACACCCCTTTTTCGCACTTCCGGGCCCCCATCCCACTCCGATCAAGAAGTCGCGTTGGGCGTGAGGTTGGGCGTCACAACTGCTCCTGTAGTAGCCCGTACATTTGCATTAATGGGCACGACTCTAGGAAGTACTGGTGGTTTAATGACCGCGTTGAGAATTTTTAGCAGGGCGAGGTACTGGTGGTTTGAGCTATCCTCCTGAAGTGGTTTGACATGATTAGGAATCGTCTAACCTTCAAAGAGGGGGATTGGATGGGAGGGGGTGAGTTGGAGAGGCTGATAGGTTGGGTGCACGAGGTGAGCATACATAAGGTGCTGCTAGAGTGATTTTGGGTCGCAAGAGGAGGAAGGTTGGCGAGAATTAAAATCCCCAGGGTTCTCTGGGGGGGCGGGCAAAAGGAGAGGTGTTCAGGGTTAGGGTATTGGGGGCGACGGAAAAATGGAAGGCTTTCTACCCAGCAAAAAAATGAGGACCTTGCTTCCTATACGAATGATACCATTACGTGAGCTGGGCAAGTCCCCCCTCCCCCCCTCCCCCCGCCCCGGAAAAAACAAGGACAGTAGGTTCCCCGCCCACGCATCCCGCGGCCAAGTGCCACCAGAGCAGTGTTGAGTTTCCGCAAACCCTGAATGTGGATGTGTTTGCGGAGATGTGCGAAAAGTCTCGTTTTCTTCAACCGCACCTTCCCGCAAACACGTCAAGATTCAGAGTTCAAGAAACACACCGCCGCTATCGTCTTCCCCCGAGCACAACGCACCCTCATTTTGACTTTATCTGGCCGGAGACATACCTTGCATACGTTCATTTTCAGGGTGCGTTATGTTCGGCGGAAGACGGTAGCGGGACCTGGTCCCCTCCTGTAGCAGAGAGGTAACACAACGCCGGTACCGTAGTGGGACCTGGCTCCCGCGTGCAGCAGAGCGCTAGGGCCGGGGAACCCACTGCTACGTGTCCCGCCGGTAGAACCTCTCTCTCCCCTCTGTCCTGTCCTTCAGAGAACAAGCGCTACCTGACATAAGAGGAGATCCGCGCGACCCCGACCGCAGGGCTGCAGAACCCTAACGCCCCACGCCATCTCTGTGTGCAGGGGGATGTGAGGGGAATAAATTGCCGGCGGGCAGGGGGATGTGTGGGGAATAAATTGCCGGCGGGCAGGGGGATGTGTGGGGAATAAATTGCCGGCGGTCGGGCTAAGAAAGGTGACGTCGTGCGCGGGAGGTTAGCTTCAGCCTTCAGCCGTTATTTCATGTATGTCAACGTTCTGAGTGGGCCTCGGACCACTACTCCATTGCACCCTGTTTTCCTCACTTCTTCATCGACTTCCTCTACCCGCCCCCCTCCCCCACTCTCCCCTCCTTCCCTCCCCCTACCCTTTCCTTCCCCCGCTTTCCCTACCCCCACACCATCCCCCTCTCCCTTCCTTTCTTCCAGGTTTTCTTCTCTATGTCTGAATGGCCCTCGCTCCACTACTCACCACGTGCAGAAAAGACAAAAAATATGGCGGTGTATCTTCCCATGTTCTAGCGGAAGATTCGTTCTCAGTTCGCACATTTGGTGAGTATCTGTTTTGCTCGAAAGTGTGTGTTTGCGCACTCTAGCGCTTTCCCTTGTGCATGTTACGTCTGATGTCACAGAGGCAGCACCTTTGTCCGTTTGTGCGCCCGAATACAACGTACGGTCATATCGCTGTATTTGGGGTATCTTTCAGTCTAAATACAGCAAAGATGACCGCACGTTTTTGCCCGAATAGAACGTACGGTCATATCGCTGTACTTGGGGTATCTTTCAGTCTAAATACAGCAATGATGACCTCGCGTTCTATTCGGGCGAAGACGGTACTTCTATGGATGTACGGCATTCCGGACTGGTTGATGATCCTAAGTTTGAAATGTGATCGTGTCACTGTGGTACTGGTGATTGAATGGGATGTCATCTTTGCTGTATTTAGACTGAAAGACACCCCAAATACAGCGATATGCACCTACGTTGTATTCGGGTTAGAAAAAACGATGACCTCTGATTGGTTGTCAATCATGACAGGATGTTATGGCCGTTCGATCGACTTCTATTCAGATTCCGGAGGGGGAGGATTGAATTGGAGGAAGAGGTGGGAGACATGCGCAAAGGCAGGCAGCGCAACGATCATCTGGACCTTTTGACGGCTTGGAAGAAACAAAAAAATTATTGTCCTAAAAAATGTCTTCAGAAAATTTTTGAGTCGGGAAAAAAAAAAAAAAAACCCCTTCAATTTTTTTTGAATTGAATCGGGAAATCGCTGAAACCTTTTCTTTGCTCGTGTTTTGGTGAAGAACAGTACGGCAACTCAGGTGGGCAGAAGGGCCTGCATATTTAAGGGTTTTTTTTTTTTTTTTTTTTTTTAATTCATATTTTTCAGAAAGTAGTTGTTGGTTATTTTCGGGATTGTGAAATGTTTTAAAAGCGTTTCGAAAACACAGATCTTTCCAAGATCGGAGAGTGAGCACGAGGAACAGGAGGAGGAGGAAGAGGAGAGAGGAGGGGGAGAGAGGAGGAGAGAGGAGGAGGAGGAAGAGGAGGAGGAGAGGAAAGAGGTGAATGAGAGAGGAGGCGACAGATTGTCGTCTTCAATTATCGCTTTGCATCTGGACTGAAAATTGCACCAATTACGGCTATAATGACTATGGAGAGTATTCGGGGGAAGACGGTAGGAGGAAGAAAGAGGCGAAGGATGAGAATGGAGAGGGGGGGGGAGCGCAATATGAAAAAAGACAAGGATACCAACACGATGAGGAAGGAGAAGGAGACGAAAAACGATGAGGAGATGGGTATGAGGGACGTGGTTGCCATAAGGCGGATCAGGGGAGAAGGAGGCCCTTGATGAGTGCCACCAGGGGTCCAGGGAGTGCCACCACGGGTCCAGGTGCGCTTCCTGGCCGAAACGTGCGTAGGGCAATGAGAGTGAGCGGGTTTCTTTTTCTTCTGAGCCTACCCGTCTTCACCCGAATAGAACGCCCGGTCATTATAGCTGTATTTGGGGCAACTTTCAGTCCAGATGCAGCAGCTATAATGACCGGGCGTTCTACTCGCCCGGTTGAAGAGCGTAGTGCATGCGGATGTGTATGGAAATTACTAGTATTTTATCGAAGCGTGCAAGAAAGACAGTCTTTGGCCCTCTGTTTATCACTATTCCTCCTCCTCTTCTCCCCCTCAAAGTCATTATTATCATCGTCGTCATCATCATTCTTTCAGACTCTAAAGTATCGTCATCCTCCTCCTCCTCCTCCTCCTCCTCCTCCTCCTCCTCATCATCATCATCATCATCATTCTTCTTCCTATTGTTAGGCATCATCGTCATCGCGAGTTGACACCGTCATCGCATTTTCAATCTATTTGCAAAATTCGAAGAAATGTTTTTTCCCAAGAATTGAAATCTTTTTTTTTTTTTTTTTTTAATTGAAATCTTCCAAAAGATATACAACTCGAACATTAGAAAGATGGCATGAGAAATTCAGAGGCGTAGGAGAACGAGAGGGAGGAGAAAGAGAAAGGTGTGAAGGGGGTGGAGGGTGTGAAGGAGGAGGAGAGGGGTGTGGAGGAGAGGAGGCGAAGACGGGGAGTGAGGAGGTAACGAAGCGGTAAACAGAGTCCTCGCGGCCTTTCTCCTCTTCTTCCTCTCTCTCTAGTCATCGTCATCATCATCATACGACTTCCACTGCCGTCCTCCTTGTCTCCCTTCTCTCCTCATCTTCTTCCTCCTCCTGCTCATCGTCGTCACGTCGTCAAGCCTCATCCTCATTTGAGAACCATCTACTCATCCTTATCGTTTGCATCTGGACTTTTCTCCCCTTTTTCTTTTCGTCTCCCTCCTCCTCGTGTTCATCATTGCCATCACTTCACATCTCCTGGTCGTCTGCTATCTCCCTCTTCATCTCGATGTTGACGTCATTTAGAATGAGATAGTGCAACGACGACAGTAGTGATGACGAAAATACAGTAATGATGAAAGGGGGAGGGCATTGCGATGGGGCCTTGAATAACGAAAAAATGAGAGGAGGAGAAAAAATTTTCCAGGAGGGCGATGCTTTGTCTTCGCCTTCTCTTCTTCCTCGACCGTTGTGTCAGTGGATCTACTGTTTCAACCGTCACCAAGGAGGCGCCCTCCTCACAATGCGTTCTCCTCCTCTCATTTTTTCGTTATTTAAGGGCATTGCAATACCCTCCCCGTTTCATCATTACTGTATTTTCGTCATCATCACTGCCGTCGTTGTACTACCTCATTGGTACGTCTTTCATCTCGCCGTTCCAATTATCACAAGGAGATAAGAAGAGGTGCACGAGTAAACGGAAAGGAGAGCATGCGAGTATATGGTTGGAGACGGGACTGCAGCTCGAGTAAACGGAAGAGTAAACGGAAGAGGTAAACGGAAGAGTACACGGAAGAGGTAAACGGAAGAGTAAACGGAAGAGGTAAACGGAAGAGTACACGGAAGAGGTAAACGGAAGAGGTAAACGGAAGAGTAAACGGAAAGGAGCATTTGAGTATGGTAGGCAACGGGACGGGAGCGCAAGTAAACGGAAAAGTAAACGGAAGAGTAAGTGCACGTGTAGAGGAGCGGATTCGCGGTGGAGAAAGAGAGGAAGAGGAGGAGGTGGGGGAGGGGGAGGGGGAGGAGGAGAAGGAAGAGGGAATTGAACTAAGTGCTTGGTCACCTTTTGGAATCTTTAGCTGCGTACTAGGTGCGGGAACGTCACTTTTCGGCTTCTTCACTTAGTCTCCTCAGGTGTGCCTTAGGATAATACAGGGGAGGGGCTCCCCCTCACAGTGTACGAATGGAGACCTGCCGGCCCATGAATATGGCCCTTTGTTCTCTATCTTGTTCTGCCTTGGGCACTGGGCCTTTATTAAAAAAAAAAAAAAAAAAAAA